GTCAGGTGTAGGAGGTCTCTGCCAGTGTTCAGCAAGTACTGCTGAGGTTCTGCTCAGAATATGGCTATTCCACCTTTTTTAAAGTTATGTAGGAAGACACCAGAAATACTGTAGTACCTTTCCCTTCTGGAGGAATGCAGTCTAACAGAGGGAATGGCATGGAAGTTGTACTCACACTGCACTGCTTTTGAAATCAGTTAATAGAGGAACAGGGCTGCAAGGTGAACAAGCATTGGTGACTTCATTTCTGTGGTGGTTTTGTGCAACAAAGGAGAGGAATTTGTCACTGCAGCAGTGAGATTAAAGGCAAGGCTATCTGATGGGATTTAGCTGATGCAGTGTTTCATGGCCACTGGATGGGCACATTTTCCTTCCAAGCCATTCTCTGTTTCTCCTCAGAGAAGCAGAGGGGTAGAATCTCCTCTAGATAGCATCAGTCCTGTGTGTGAATGCACCTAGTGTCCTGCACACACACACACCCCCTTCTCGGTGTTCCCCAAACACACCAGCGTTGACCTTCCTCAGCTGTTATACAAGCTCCTGCTGCTGCCTTGCAATATTAATCAGGAGGGTTCCTGGGGGTTTACTAAGTTAAAACTGCTGTTTTGCCAACTGATGCAAGGTTTCTGGAGAGTGGATATATTTCTCCAGGGACTAGGGTTGAAAATTGCTAAATTCATTCCACTCAGTGCTTCAGTAGAATGTAGCCTTACCTATTTTTAAATAAAAGACTTCAATGAAATAAAACCAAAGATGTGTATGGTGCAGCAAATGAAACCTCCGTCTGCATAAACAGATCAATAAACTGATTTGTGTTTGCTGACCAGAAGAAGAATCTAATTGCAGGTACTCCATATTCAGCGTTTGTGGTGAAACTAGAGTAATTGGAATAATGAGAAATCCAGTTTGCTTTTGTTTGGAGTTCATTCTTCTTTAGGTTTCATTAAACTGGACTAGTGCAGTGCACAGGCCTCACAAGGCTTAGGCTGGTGACATACTCACAGTTTCTAGGTCTTCAGACTGATACGTTCTTCATATTCTAAATTACCACATTTGCCATCTTTTAATATGACTTGAAATGACCGAAGTAATATTGTTCCTGGGGTTTAGAGGTTCATTTCACCTGCCAGATTCTCTCCTGCTTTGTGTTGGGCAGCCATCAGTGAACTGAAGTTTGAATGCATCTGAATGTCAAAATAGCTCTCAGGTTGCCTCAAGTTCCAGATCTGTGCAGTTACTAAAATTTACAAGAGGAAATAATGCTCTCCTGCATGTCCTAAAGATGTATTTCCAAGAAAATATTGTTGTGTCAGTCCTCGGGTATTTTTTATTTGAATGCATCTCTTGCATCTTTTTGGATTTAGTTAAAAAAGAGAGGACGGACATCCTGGCGAGAGACAATATTCAGAAAGGTAAAAGATTTTAGAGAGATGGAAAGAAATCTCCCAGGAAAACCCCTGAGATTAGAGTTGTGTGTATGTGTTTTCTCTCCTTGAGTGGGACAAAAGCTGTTTCGAGGTATCTCAGTCTTCTCAATGGCTGGTAACAGTGATGAAATGGTGGTAAAGAGTTCTTTAAAAAGTTATCATTGCAAAGAGAGTAGAACAGTCACCGGTATTTAATATCACTTTGAGTTAAAGTCAGTAAATTGGATAGGCATACTGTCAGCGTAGACGTCTCATTAACATTATTTGGAGAGTGGAAAATGAGTCCTCTATGAATGAAACAGCAGGGTGAGCTTGCTTTCTGCTAGGAGGAGGACACAGAAGGAACTGATTGGAAGTTATTGGGGTGTAGATAGGTAATGATGAATTTATGATTTTAACTGTATGAAGAGCTGATAAATGAGTCTTAAAAAAAAAAGCTACAGAAAATAGATTGATTTTTTTTTTTTTTTTTTAAAGTTTCTGAAGGCATGCCTGGTAAAACTGGAGGTAAATCCTCTTGGTGCTGGGTTTCATTTGGGTCTGTCCATCTGTGGAAGAGAGAACCCAAAGGTCATCTGTAACTGGAGATCTGGAGTTTTAAAGGAAGGTGATGTGCTGACCTGCCAGCTGACATATGGTACAACCCTGGTATTATCTGAGATTATGCTAATAAAGACTAAACCCTGCAAGTTGATTCCCTTCATTGTTATTTAACCAAGGAAGCACCTTATCCAGAAGTCTGGTAGGAAATCTATAGGTTTGAAATGCAATTTATATCTCCCTGCGGCAGAGACAGATTTGGCTTTTTGGTTTTATTATTATAAATAGCTTAAAGGCTGAGCTCTTCGAAGGGTCCATAGTTCTGCAAAACAGACCAGTGTGTTCAATTGCAATTGTAGCCTTTATTGTGATTTTTGCTACTTGAAAAGGTTTTTTTATTTATCCTCTTTATAAACAAACACTTTAATGAGTCTCTGATCAAAGATTGTCCCTGTTCTATTCTAACAAGCACCTGTTTTTTTCTTACCATTCATTGCCAAGACACGTTTCATCAGCTAAGTAAATGTGATTTAAGGCAGGTCATGACAAACTAATTATATTTGAAAGCAGTAGACAGGGCAGCTTGAATTTTAAGAATTTTTTTTAACTGGGTTTGTTCTTGAAACATTGAGGGAAGTGGATTTTGGATATGGTTTCAAAGCACACAGAGGTGGTGTCTGATCCACAGAAGGCAGCTGTGCTTCCTTTTTGAGCACTCTGGCTCTTAAGTATTTCCATTTCTTCTATGAATATGTTCAGGAACATTTATAGTTTTTTATTCGTGTACCACTATTTTCTTTATATCAAGTAGTTCATACCATTTTCACTCCCCTTCCTTGCACTGTTATTGGCAGTGATCATATATCCCACTTTAGCTAAGCTGAGTAAGCCAGACTGTTTTAGTCATTGCTTGTAAAATAAAACTTTCTGTACCCTGATCATTCTCGTAGCCAGTTTCTTAGCTAGAGCTTGAGTTCATCTTTCCTGGCCATGCCACTGTCTGTCCAGGGCCGGGAGCAGTGCTGTAGCGCTCTCCTGCCTTTCATTATAAAATCCTCCTGTGGATTAGTTCTCTTGCCAGTGCCTTTGAGTCTTTTGACAGAGAAAATTGCTTTTGGTAGCAATAAATTGCAGACCTCAAAAAAATCAGGACATAGCTTTTTTAGACCATTTGGACAAGAAAAGGTCATTATATCTGATTGTACAGTTGGTGGACCCCAGATTTTAAAATAGCTGAATTCTTTTCTTTCTCACCAAACAAAGCAAGGATTGAGACACAGAATAGCAGTCTTTTTCTTTTTTAACCACACATGCTGTTTCCACTCAGCTACACATGTGTGTTTGTACATCACCTTAATTATTGTATTGAAATCTTCACTTCATTGCATTGATCTGCTCAGGCTTTTTTTTAATGCTGCTTGGGATGTTGTCTCCATGTACTTGAAAAATTCTGTATTGGTGGTTTCAGGAGGGATGAGACCCACACAACACCCAGTGATTGCAGAAATCTCCTCTTGCTCAGAGCCATTCAACACTTGTTTTTTTATGCAAGCCATACTGCCTCCTTCACTTTTAGAGTGAATTTTGCCATGGTTTTCTTCCTAGCTTTGTCCACAACCCAACCTTCACCTTATGCTAAATGAATTGTTCTCACGTTAGTGCAAATATGATGTTTTGTCAGAAATGAAACAATTCCAGCATGCTTGTCTTGTAGGCGTTTGCCTCATAAATTGTTATGGCTATATTTTGGTGTACTGGGGGGGATATAGGTGGAATTTAGTATAGGAGTAATTAATTATTTTGGGCTTATCTCTTTAAAACTAGTATTTTTTTAAAATTCCTTCCTCTTTCCTTGGTAAGCAGTCTTGAAAATTCCTTATATCTAGTATTTGATTATGTTTAGAACATTTTATGGGGTTGTTTCCAGCTGGTCTGAGTTGGCTGTTCCAGGGTTGACCAGTAGCAACATCTGGATCTCACTCAGAGTGAGACTGAGTACCACAGCAGAAAAATGTCTCTAGTGTTGGTTTCAGGATTGATGCAGAGGTCAGTGCTTGCTCACTAGATGTGTGCCTTAAAATGAAGGGTCAGAAGAGACCCAGGGGTCTGGTGTCAGATCTGTCCTCTGTGAGCAATACGACCTGCTTTCAAGCGCTAATGGCTTCATCGGATACAGAGCACTTGGGTTGAGGATGGTCTTCGGTGGGGATACTGTTACTGTTCTTTTTGTAATAGCTCTATGGTTTTGGAAGATGTGAGAAGATGAGGGGGGAGGCCTCAAGGCTAGCACCAGGATGTAGGTCTGGGAGCCTGTGTGTGTCCGTTTGGTGCAGGAACTGGAGCAAGCTTGGGTGTGTGAGCAGGTGTGTGTCTGAGGGTGTGACTGCTGGTGAAGGTCAAGCCAGATGAGGGGGTGAAGGGACCTGGGAGCTGGGGATGTCCACATGTGTGTGTGTCTCTAACCATAGGAGGATCTGGCAACCAGAGACACGGGGAAGTCCCAGCCAGCTGCTGGGGGGACAGCTGAGTCTGGGGGTTGACAGGCCACTTATGGGTGTACACACGTGTGTAGGTGTCTGTGGGGAGAGGTGAAGATCCAGGATCAGCTGCCAGACAGCGTGAGTGTGCAAGGGGTCTGTAGGGTATGAGCGAGGGGGTCTGTGACACAACTAGAGTGGGGTCTGCAGCCCCAAGGGCTTGCTGTGCTCAGGTGCCAGCAGCTGGGAAGACTGGGATCCAGGGTCAGCTACTGGGCAGGCTGATTGCCAGAGCCCAGCTGCTTGTGGGATCCACTCTGCACCTCTGTATATGTAGATGTTTCCCACTAATTTGGCCTCTCCCCCTAAGAGTCTCTTGAAGTAATTGTGTCTCATATCCCTTGGGCAGATACTGTTGGTTACAACATAGAAGATTTGAGGATGAAAGAGAGAAGAAGCAGAATGCCCCAAAGCGCCTTTTGGGCATAGGAGGAGTTAATGAAACAGCAAAGCTGTGGCAGGATGTTTAATTCTAATCATCTCTCTTGTGTTTCAGCCCTGGCCCAGTGTGTCGAACCTGGCCAAGGATTTCATTGACCGTCTGCTGACAGTGGACCCCAGTGACAGGATGACAGCCCTTCAGGCCTTGAAGCACCCGTGGGTGGTCAGCATGGCAGCATCTTCCTCCATGAAGAACCTACACCGTTCCATCTCCCAAAACCTTCTCAAGAGGGCGTCTTCCCGCTGCCAGAGCACCAAGTCCGCGCAGTCCACCCGCTCCAGCCGCTCCACCAAATCCAACAAGTCGCGGCGGGTTCGGGAGCGGGAGCTGCGCGAGCTCAACCTGCGCTACCAGCAGCAGTACACTGGCTGAGCAGGGCTGGGACATGCCAGGCGTCTTTCCAGATGTCTGCTCTGCCTTGTAGGTGTGCAGCGCCCTTTGCCACACTCTCGCTCAGTGAGGAACATCCAGGTACCTCCCTCCCTCCCTCCAGGTGTGTCCCCCGCCCAGCCCCATGCGGAGCAGAGGTGATCTCATGGTGGCCATCACACCCTGCCAGCTGTGCCGCGGGGTCTCACGCAGGAAATGGGGGAGCCCTTGTGGGCTCAGAGCACAGCTCAGAGCCTCAAGTAATACACAAATTAAGGAGCCACATGCGGAGAAGAGCTCTCTCTGTAGCCTGGGAGCTTGGTTGTTCATAGTTATTTATTAATTCCAGAGTGTTAAGTTTCTCTCACTTGCATATGAAAAAAAAAAAACAAACCACTTTATGTGTATGTACAAGCACGTATGTGTGCACATACACATGTGAGTGTGTATATGTATTTAAAAATTATATATTCACAAACTTTGAACTGGTTTAGTCAGACTCTGTGGTGCCTTTGCAGTGAAGCTGGTGAGTCACATGCAATTAGGAGTAGGATAGCTCTGACTCACCGGCATGCTGCCCACCAGCTCCTTGTCCCAGTACAGTGCCGAGGAGATGCCAGACAGCAGTTTTCTGTGATGACGGGGAAGCTGTGAGGTTTCCCCCAAGGGCTGCTATCCACCTGATGACGTCGAGGCTTTGCTCAAGCTGTGTGAGAGCTGCTGTGCAAATTGGCAACGGGGCTGAAGTGCTGCGAGCTTGGAGCTGTAGTCCGGTTCCTTTGATCTGAACTGGATGGGTGCTGCTGGTGGAGGGGTGAGAAGAGGATCATTGTGCTGCAGGAAGTTCATGGTACACAGAGGCAAGGCAGGGTTTTGGGGGTTCCTTGCTGTCCCCCTTGAATTATCCTTCTCCTATTTATGGCAAGACCAGTGCCTACCATGCAGGATTCATTCTTGCTGTGACATGGCCCTGTCATGTCTGTGACCTGTTACACATCTTGTGCCCTTCAGACTACTGTTACCAACCATGTCACTTCACCAAAACTTCAGTGGTTCCAGGTATTGCTCCCTGTCTGCAAATTTTATGGGGCTCCCTTGCTTTGCATGCCTGTTCTGTCCCAGTCTTTCTGTCCCTGCTCTGGGACAGTGGTGTGGTGCTGGGAGCTGTTGGGATGGCCACAGATGGCTTCATAGCATCAGGGTAGGGGCTTGAGTAGTGGAGATCTAATCCTGGAGCATCAGCAGAGATAATACCCTGGAGACACTGCAGGAAAACCTTGGAGCTGTTAGGTGTGATTTAAATCCAACAGGAAGGAGCTGCCTTTCAGGTTTCCTTGTGGTGATGCAGGGGCCTCTTGTGAAGGACCTCTCAGGGAAGGTGGGTGCTGTTGAGCTGAGCTTTTTGCAAGCCTGCTGAGATATCTTCCCAGCTACTCAGAGCAGCAGAGTGGGGCTGTTGGCACAGTCTCGGGGTGGATTTGCCTTCTTGTAATAGCAGAGACAACATCTGCAGTGAAGGGGAATGCTGGGTTTTGAAGCTTTTGGTACAGAGCCATACAGTTTGCTTCATGCTGTGCACTTGAAGTGCTTGCTTGGTTCTGGACTGGAGATGCAGGCTATGCAAGCTCAAGGGGCTTGTGAGCATGGCCCTTCCACCCAGGACTGATGTCTGCGACACTGTTTTAGTGTCAGCAAGGTTTTAACTGGTCAGTCACATCCCCAGGGAGCTCTGACTTTACTGGCCTCAGTGCTTCTTTGTCAGCAAACAGCAAAGCTGCTTAGCTTCAGTGGGTGAAGACTAAGTTTTCTGTTCTAAGAAAAAAAAAAAAAAGGCATTTTTAGGGATACACTTCCCACCCTGAAGCTGGGTTAGGTCATAACCACTGTGAGCGCAGCCTTGTGCGTCTAAGCATGCAATGGGGAATACAGCAGAGAAAACCTGAGGACAGCCAGTATGTGTATCAGGGGTGAATTCTAAATCCTTTGCATAGTTTTGCATATTATTTTGAAAACTCTGCATCCTTGCGGGCTGCCCTTTCTCCAAGTGGCCATCCTACCATATCACATGCAGTCTTTCTTCCATCAGCATTAATGGAAACCACAAAATTACCAAAAATTTTTTTTCAACTCTGTAGACTGTAAAAACAAAAGTTTCTTCAGCTTCTTTTACCTTCTTATGTAGTTTTCCTGGTTCATTACCATAAACTATAAACTAGATGTGATTTCTGACAAAACAGGTAGCTTGCCACATTTTGCTTCATAAACAATTCAGTGCCTGTCATATTACTGCCAACAGCTCTCCAAAAGCAGCAACCACTCTAAGACAAGTATAAACTGGAAAATTGTTCTTGCCCTGTATGTTAAGAGATGGCTGGATGCTCTCTCAGAGGGCTTCTGTTTTTTTTTAACTGTTACTCGTTAGTCTTCTATGTGTTTGGAGCATCATACCCAGCCACTGTGATCTCTTTTCCTCCCTGGGTGCTTTTATGGCCCTCCCCAGATTATCTTGTATGTTTATCCTTAAAATAGGTATTTGGCCTATGTGAGGAGGTCAAACTGATGAACTGAGCCAAGACCTCTAGAGCTTGAGAGCCTTTCCTTTAACCACTAGACCATCAAAACGCACAGGCGTTGTGCAGGTGCCTACCTGTGCTGTTCCTTCATGCCTTCTCTTGTGGGGTGGGGCATAGATGAAGGTGGAAAGGAGATCAGGATGTTTAGCTCTGGTCTGACCAGGCTTGTTTCTCCACCTTCACAAAGCAGAACAAAAGTCTTCTCATCTGTGACAATTTTTGTTTCATTCCTATTTTCAGCAATTGGCTTTTCACCAGGGAAAGTTCAGAGCAATGTCATTTGTGGTGAGTTTGGGCTGGAATATGTTCTGGGAAGCGAGATGTTGCTATATAGATTCCTGACAGCGTCAGTTTTCTGTGATGATACTCTGTGACTGGGAGGTGAATTGCCAGGAAGGATAGCTGCAGCCTGCCTCTTTGGGCTATGGAGATGTTTGTGGTCCTCAGGCATCCTGCTCCTAGGGAATTGTATCAAAGACGACCTTTGGCTTTTCTAGAAAAATAACTCTTAATTCTCCTTACAAATGCAATGGTTTTTTGTTTGCATGAAAAGTCAACGTAAACATGGGGAAAATCTTTATAGGCTTTCCTTTCATCATTTGATTATAACACTCTTGGCTCAATCCCTCTTCTTTTTATAAATTCACTATTTGCAGGAACCCTTATACCCAGACAATAACATGTGTGGGCAGAGGGGAGACTAGCAGAGCTCTGTCCAAGTGTCCCTTGGAGTCCTCTGTGATCTTTCTGTCTTCACTCTGTCTGGAAAACTGTGATGGTCCAAACACTATGTTGCAAGGTCCAGCTTAAGAGCAATTCCTTGGGAGCTTTTATCCTTACAATTGTTGCACACTTTCAGCTGGGTCTGGTGGGGAGGACAGGCGAAGTGCTGTAATTTTGAGCCATAGTTCAGGTACCTTCAATCTGTCCTCTAGGAAATTCTTCACTGTGAATTATCTCAATCGTCTGTCTTCATATATATTCTATAGGAGCACCTCAATGCTCAGTTTATCTTAAGTCTCAGGAGTTTAAACTTTTCAGGAGTGCCTTGTTTGGGGATTTTAGAAGCTGAAATCTCTGAAATGTTTTTCTGCCCTTCTGTTTATTTTTTTATAACTCCTTCTTTGGCTCTTAATGATGGTTCTTTATTTGGATCGCAGGGTTTTTTGAACGAGTTCCTCTGGTACTGAACTAGCCAGGAGAACACAGATAACAAATGCATGTTCCAGACCATTGCTGAGTTGCAGTCTTTATATTAGCTGGAGTGCAAATCTCAGAGTGCTTTTGTCTTCTGTACCTTTGTTCGTGCAATGAAAATGAAGTTGGAATGACACCTAGTGGCAAGCCGTAATGTGTCCTTGTCTAAGTACAGAGCTCTTCTAGTTATGTTCCCAGTGTTTCTGGGTGAGATGCTCTTCAAAGAGGAATCTGGGTTTAGTGTGCTGAGTCTTGAACCACATCTGCAGTCCTGGATGTTCAGCCCTCTCAGCGTGGCACCATTTTCTCCTGTGCTGATCCTGAAGAACAGCATTTTAGTCCACACAGGGATGAGCGTGAGTCTGTGTGCACTCGCTGGAAGGGATGCTGAATGATGGGGAAAAGATGTGCAGTCAACCCCCAGTGTCTCAAGGAGAGCACCCTGCCTTGGGGAGACATCTTAGTGGACACTAGGAGAAAGCGAAGCCTAAAGATGCTGAGGTGAGAATCAGCAGGTTTGAGACTTTCTTCCATCATGAGACACGATGGAGCAGCTCAGGGTGTTGCTTTGCAGTGTTTCAGAGAAATGCAGTTTGGAGGAGTAAAGGGAATTATGGTTGATTGTCTTTTGGAACTTAGCAGTACTGTGTAAAACAATCCCATTGTTTTGTCCCGGGAGTTTGGCTGCTCTCTTGGGGGAAAGAATTATGCCTACAAAGAACATGGCCTGTTGATTCCTTGATTATTATTTTTTTGAGGGTTATTGGAAATTAATGTGAAAAGGTCTTCCAGAAATAAGGTTAGGTGGTCTGCAGACTTGCATCCAGATTTTTGAGTACATAATGTATTTTTCTATGCATTTTGCTAAAACAGCAATTACTTGTCCATGTTTGATCTTCTTGTAATCCTTCTCGAGCTTCCTAAAAACTACCATGTCAACCCAGTGGCGGTAGAAATCCCCCTTCCTTCAATCCAGAAGTCTGTGCTGTTGAACACTGAGATTGTGATAGCATCCAGATGTTCCTGCCAGTTCCTGGGCTGTGTTGTTCTTGGAAACACACAACTGTGCGTGAGGGACAGCTTTGTAGCCTCCTGAGGAGTGTAAGCCCAGACAAAAGGGCTCTGACCTGCTGGTTTCAGTAGTGTGGAAACCAGCTGCAGTGCAAGGCCTGCATTGCATATTTGTTTTGGAAATGATAAACCCTCAAACTCTTAACTCCTTTGGGATTTGTATATTTTCTTTTTATAGGTCAGATCTTTTCTGCTCTGGTAATGTACATTCTTTCTTATACCCTGCTCCATTTCTCAATCCCGCTTTCTACCCAGGTGTTTGGCTGAAGTACTAATATAATCAACTTTTATATAATGCACAAACTGGAATAGGAATTGTGATTAATTCAGCTACTGGGCAGCAACTCTGGATTTGGCTCTGAGGAGCCGTAGTGAGTCTTGGAGCAAAGCAAAAGCATCTGCACAGTGCCTGGCTTGTGGGAGAAGGCTCCCTTTGAGGACCCTGCAGTGCAGGCTCAGCTCAAGGTGATCTGGTGCAACATAGGACAACTAGTATGTGGCTGTTACAGGCCTCTTATTAGACTGCATGGGGCCATATTCCTATTCTAAGTGATGATACTAAAGATCTGGAGGGTTTGAGGTGGGGTAGATTAAAATCTCAATTGTGTGATTTAATTAGGTTTTTCAAATGATGCAGAGCAACACAGAGATTAGCTGGGGGGGGAGGGGGGAGGGATATCACACCCTCTGGAGGAGTTGCAAACTGTTCCCTGGTAGCACTGTATTCCAGATGAGCCCTTGGATTTGCGGGGGGGGGTGGGGTGGGGTGGTTGTGTCCCAGCCTCTCACCTCCTCAGCTTTGTCCTGGAAGATACCACAAAGTGCCTGTACCGCTCGGTGCCGGATACCCAGCCCCAAGTTGCCTACGCCACTCTTGGGAGGGTTTTGGTGCTTTTTTTGACCACTCGGGCTCCTCTTTCCACCTGGGTTAAGAACGCAGCCCTTGGGTGCTTGAGAGGCAGGTGCCTGCACATCAGCTGTGCCTTACTGTTCAGTAAATTTGCCAAAAAAAATGTGAAGCAGCGGGGATTGTGTGGTGGCAACAGCATCATGGAGTTTGGTACCTTCCACCCTCAGTGTCCCTGCTGTGGAGGATCATGAGAGGCTGCTGCCTGCCCGATGATAGTTTTTTCCTTCTGCTGTTCCCCCCCAGCCTCCCTGCACCATAATACTGTAGATCTCTCGTGTGAGATGGGCAAGCTACTCGCTGCTGTTGGAAATCACGTTGCACTGTGTGTGTGTGCCGAGCCTGGAGGAGCTCCACAGCCCCAATGAGGTGCGTTAAAAACGAGCAGTTCCTGCGAGGGCACCCAGATGCTGTGAGTTTTCCTGTTGCCTGTCACTACGGAAAGACACCTCCCGGGAAGCTCTTGGGACTGAAGGTCTTCCGGCACTTGCTGTTATTTTTGGTTGCCAAATTTCCGGTGCTGGGTTGAAACAGTTTGAAAGTAACTCCAGTTGCATCCCATTAGTCTCCTAACAGGGCTGTTTTGAGAAGCATCCAGTTCTGTGACTCACCTTTGGAGTCCTGTCTTTACACTAAGGACTGTCTTGAAGGATGAAGTCTGAACCATTGTAATTAGTCTGTAACATTACAGTTAGAGTGTACAGAACTATTTATTTTGTGTACTCAGTCTGCTAAACATGTAAATGTGTACCCATCGCTCTGCTGTCTTTACTTCTGGCTCCTGGATCTGCACATGGGTTGACTGCTGAAGGGCTCTGCTTTCTGTTCTGTGAGCAATGGTCAGTGAATGCATCAATAGACAGGAGCTGCTCACCCCTCTAACGTGCTCTTGGAGCACAGCAAGAAGGTACCAAAGTGCCTGTAAGAGTTTGCTGGTTGCTTGAATGCAGCTGCCAGGCCAGGAGCTGCCTGAGGGAGACCTTGTGCAGGGCTGGGGTGTCCACAGGGATGCTCTGGGTGAGCCAGGCCCTCAGCCTCTCGCTGGAAGGCAGGGTTTGGAGGCTGAACAGGCGCTTTGGGACATTTTGTTCACTTTTTTTTTGGCTGCAAAGTGGCAGACAGGGCCAGAGAAATACCCTCGTTTGCCCACAGCAACTCATTACCTCTCTGGTTTCACTCTGAGCAGCTTTTATGGGTGAATGGGAGGACCTCTAATAGCAAATGAAAAATGCACACCCCTTGTGAACCATGTCCTCCTGGAAGGGAGGTGATTTTTCAGGGGCAAGAAACTGCATCCCAGTGGTGACGGGGATCAGTGACCTCAACAACACAGAGCAAGTGACCCATAGTGCTGCAGTTGATCAGTTTGAAGCTCCATGTGGCCACCAGTTCCTTCCACCCATCTGGCCCACCCCATATCTACCATGTTCAACTCTCTTTAAGGTCATTTAGCAGCTAACTAAAGCCAAAACTGGGAGTCTGCTGTTTTCATGTGACGGGTCTTATTTCAGGTCCACACTCTAAATGTCATGGCAGACCGGTGTGTTACCGAGCACAGCTGCTGCTGCCAGCCTTGGGGGAGATTTGCAAGGAGCCCGGCCCCTGTGCCCTTCTCCCCTGTGTCCCAGGAGAGGCTTTCCAAGGCAGAGTCTGGGCCAGCAGCTTCACAGGTTTCTCTGCAAGCCCCAGTTCCCTACTAGGTTTGCAGAGCAGACCACTGAAACCAAATTTTATTCAACCAATAACACTTACCAGCCCTGGGCTGTATTTGAGCAGCTTTTCTATTTTTTAAACTCAAGCTTATGGGTCTGACTCTTTGTCTTTATCCTCCATTCATGATCTGTAACCCTTCCCAGGGGTATGTCTCTGTGTAGGATCATGTTTTCTCTGCAACTGCTTGCTAGAGAGCGATTACAACTTGGGGTGGGGGGTGGGG